GCTATTTTGGTAACTATTTTCATAAAAAAATCATATCTTATAAAGAACTCGGTTATTACGAATCCTCGTATAAAACGAACTACTTTTTCAGTCCCTCAAGTACAATTTCATACAATTTCCCTTTTTTATAACGAACTTCAAAATTATGTGTTGAAATCATAAGGATATATTTTGCTTTGTTGAAAAAAACATAAATTTGTTAAGAAAAATATGAACAAATAAAATCAATGGTGTTTTTTTGTAAAGAATATTAAATAAATTTATAAATCATATTCTTAAAATTTCGTAAAATGCCACTTTATTTTTGGAACTACAAAAACTTCACCTGTCTTATTACAAACTTCGCTTATAACGAACAAATTTGACTGGTCCCGCGGAGTTCGTTATAAACGAGTTTGACTGTATATAGATTGGGTCCCGTGAATTCAAAATTGTGGTTTAAATGCTGTAGATTAAGTATTTGTAGCATTTATGTTGAATTTTATACAGATTCAAATATGTATATGTATGTACACATTTAAGCAATTTATTGATGAAATTCTTATATTTACTACTACATATATGGACTGATCTGCTTAAAATTTTTTGGATGGATTTATATATTTTTATACAAAATTTATTTATGTTTGCTGTGTGTATTTTATAAAGATAAATTGTTTATTACACAATTTATGTAAACCCAAATCTGAAGGGGCTCAGATTAAATAAAGCTCAATCACTACGAAACCCGACATGGCCATAAAGACTTGTATTAAACCCAGCTGTTTTGTTTTTTGTCGAAATACTTGTTTATTTTCATAATTATTAGCACAAAATCGCTAATCGGGGCACTCCATTTAGCCTTGCTGACTTCGCTGGTGATAGTTGCAGGTTACGCACAGTGAAGAACTGATGGTTATCGTTGAGATAACCATTCACCAAAACACATAAGAACAAAAAAGGTAGACGGTAGTTTATTTCGGTTTCTGGGTTTTAAATATAGACCCCCTTTCCCATTTTCACTTCCAAAAACGGATTCTTACAGGTTCTTGCTCTAAAGTTCTTCTTGATAAAACTGGTCTAATCACTCTTTATAAATCCAGTTTGTTATAGTGATACTAAGGCCCCATTTCCTACATAGCACCCTGCGGCATTGTGTCTTGTTGATAATATCTTTCGTGTGTTGTATTTATACATATTTTCGGTAGAGGATACACCTAAGTGTTGAACTCTGTTGATCGCCAATATCTTTTACCCAAGGAAACAGGATTTAATGTCTTTCATATCCAGCTTAATGACGTGTTCAGGACCTCCATTAGAAGTATCACGACACCATTTGCACCGCAGACAGGTCCTCAGGAGGCTATTAATCGAGTTTACCCAGAGTAAATTGGACAAAATATCACCCTTTGGTGTACCGTGAAATATCTTTTTCAAATATTCTGCTTTTAACCACATTATTGGAAGGACGTGAGTTTTATCGGTTGATAAGACTTTGGTGCCACTAATCTGCCCAAGTAACCGATTCTGGTTGGACGTGAGTTTTGAATTTTGATCGTCGATACGTCATTTATGCTGTCACCAGTTTACAGAAAAGTATCGTTTTCGAAAGATTTCCTTATAACCGCCATTATTACGATAGTTATCCCAGTATACTGCAGTTTTTTTACGTCGTTCCAGTTGCATAGTTTGCGACTAGTCTACTCATAAAGCAGAATCTCCCCTCTTACCGAGGGTTTCTCTTGGGCTGATCTCCGTTCTTGCGGAGGACAGCAGGCTTAGTACGATTCAACCAAGGTACTTTTGCCTAAACGGTTCCCTAGTAAGATCACGAGCACTGTCCAATTAGTTTTTTTTCCAAAATTAAATCGGCTTCGGCGGTGTCCTGAATATTTGTAATCTTATGTACCCATGGTCTGATAAGGAGTGTTCTTCCGAATAGGTCTTTCAATGGGCATGTTATTTGCAGTGGATTATTTTACTGTTGACACCGTCGTATGTACTTCATTATTCTCGTCTAAGCTAATGGTAACATCCTTTCCATAATACACCTTCCCAATATTGATCATGGCAGCTTTAGAGTCGAAATAGGATTTGTTCTTGCAAAGGCTAGCTAGCCTGGTCGAACCTACTACAAGAAGACTTCCCTCAGTGTCATTTCCCTAATTAAAGTTTAGACATCCCAGAGAGAAGACATACTTATCACCTAGTTTTTCACGGTAGAAGCGCATTAGTGTAATTACTTAGGCTTTTAAGGAAAAATCCTCTGGAGTCAGACGCTTTCTCGATATGTAGGAGGTACCACCAAAAATTAGAAATACAAAACCGAAAATTCACCATCTAGCCGTCGTTGATATAGGGAACAGTTAGTTAGGGCCTTTGTAAAACAATCGAAGAAAAGGTTTTAAAATAGAAACTCGTAAAAAATAAAATACAATAATTTGTAGAATAAGTTGGTATTGAAAATTTCACAGGTAACTCATCGCTGCTCCTTTATTTATGTGCCAGAAGCTAACTCATAATGAGGTAACTTCTTAACTTAACTGAAACTGGCGTAAAGTGAGTGTGTACTGACTCGTTCTAATTACATTTAAAAGCAACATGATTAGTTTTTTAGGACACCTCTGACTCATTTGTAGTTAACCATGACTTAAGTTAATTCAAAATCCGACTGGTTAGTAATATAAGGTTTCCTTTCGAAAATGACTTAAATAATGTTCCTAACTGGTATAAATGCCAGTATAGCTTTAAAATAAAATATAAATAAAATGGGTGATTTTTTAAGCCCAATCGAATTTGTGAAAAGGTCATCATGCAATTTACTTTGAAAACCTGTAATCGATCTTCTGTTCAGCGATGAGGCTAATTTATTTTGCTTGACGGATTTGATAATAAACAATGACATTGAACCGGAGGAGAAACGGTGCCATAAGGTGATCGCAACTATCGGTATGGATCGACAAACTTACAAATCTTTATGAAATACTCATACAAAATTTCAAAGTAACTCTTTCGTATTATAACCTATATTTACAAGTAGTAGGGATGCCAAACGGGACTGGCTTTTACAAATCCCGGGATTCGGGATTTTGAAAAATGTAATCCAGGGATCCCGGGATATTTCGGGATCCCGGGATTTTTCGGGATTATATAAATTTAATTATTTTATACACGAAAATCTTAAATCTTCATGTTTGTGAAGAAAATTGTTTAATCTTGTGGAAATTAATCGACAGAAGGTTAATTTAAATTAAAGCAATCCAATTAATTCCAATTCGTAAATAAAAAGTTTTAGAATATCATAATTTCAGAAATTTGGTAACTACATACATACTTCCTAAATAAAAATAAGTAGGAAAGTATAGTCGGATATGGCCGACTATATGAAACCCTACACCATGGGTATATTTTAAAAATTATTTATTTTTCATAAAAATTTTTTGGAATTTTACCTTAATTCCGATGTATTTAAGCAATTTATTGATGAAAAACTAAATTTCTAAAAGAGGCTTTAAGTGGGAGGTCTAGGGTCAAATATAGGCCGATCCTCAAAAAATTGGGAAGAGGAATGTAATTTTTGGACGTTTAAGGGTTCGTATGGGGGCTAGGGTCAAACGACGGCAGACTCAGAAAGTGATTCTGAGTCGATCGGTATACTTTAAGGTGGGTGTGAGACCAATATTGGTATGCGTTACAAACATCAGCACAAACGTATAATGCCCTCCCAACTGTAGTGGTGTAGGGTATAATAAATACAACGTTCAATCCTTCGAATATCAATTTAGATCATAAATGAACCTTTCCTTTGGAAAATGTTATCTACATTCAGAACAATTTAATTTACCTTTACCGTTATTACTCAGATTTGTAAAAAGCTTGAAATGCAAAACCTTCTAGATATCATTTAAAAAATAAATTTTATATTTGACTGTGCCGAAATAATATAAATATTCCGATATGTGATGGAATTCGAACGATTTGAAATCAATCGATTTGAAAAGGTATGATGAATTTCGATCGAGGAATGGTTTATTATTTTCTTGCAAAATAATACGCAGACAACAAAATACTTTCCATTTAAGAGAATCAATTTAAAAAAATATGATAATTTGTATGAAAAGCCACAGAAATTGAATATTTCACAATTTTTGGATTATTTTTGTAGATTCAAATCGATACTATTTTAAAAGTGAATTTCATAAAATAGCTGCTTGCAATGTATTCATATTAATATTGGCATCAAATTGATTTTCAGAGGAGGTCCTTTTAGGATTTCTTGTGTTAATTTTGGTCCAAATTTGAGTCTACTATAGACAAAGAATGTGTATGCTTTTTGGGTCTACGACGAAATGAAAAAATAAATTTGTATGTACTATATATGGTATCATACCACTATAAAAAATAAAAAATTTGTTCTGCATAAGTCAAAAATAAACTAAGATCGTAATTTTTAAGCGAATTTAATGAAATTATGACTCAAAAAAGAATTAAAAAAATAAATTTAAAAAATTCCGGGATTTGGGATATCCTAATCCCGAAAAAATCCCGGGATTTGCAAATCTAATCCCGAAAACTCCCGGGATTTTCGGGATTTCGGAATTGGCATCCCTAGTAACTGCCAATTGTTTGTAATCATTCTGTTAATTTCAGCGAAAATTAGAACTCTAATAAATGAGTAAATGTTTGATATGTTTTGAATCCGACATTACACTTAATACTTGTTTGCTTTTGTTTTACAGGACACTGTATATTTATTCGGCTTTTCAGATACCATATGTTCTATAGAATCTATGTATGTAGTACAATTTGAACAAAGTTAAAATTTTAATTCAGCAAACATTTTCTTACGATTAAAAATACATACAAACTAATGCCAGCAGCGAGCCGACAGTTTTTGCCATATTATTTTTTTTTGTGAGTGTGTGAGCTTTTTTACATTTCATTCTTCGTTCGTTTTGACGATTTTATTTTCTCTTAACAAACTGTCAGATATTTTGTTAGTAAAAACCGATGCTCATTGTCGTTCTCAACCAAATCGTGTGCAACTCTTGGCGAGTGCGGACGTTGTGTATTTAACTTAACTCGGTTATACGTCAACAAGTTAAACGCTAGTGAAAAGAAACAAAAATTATTTTTATCAAACTAAACCCAACCAAATAAAGAAAGAAATTTACAAACTTGTTGCTAATAAATCTCACTTTACCAATTTCAATTCAACAGTTTTACACACAAAATATCCAATTTAAATAATAGTATAACAAATATTTATGTATAATACAAATTAATATAAAAATCACAAAGAAGTGGCGTTAAAAAAATTCAAAGAAAAAAATTCTGTGAAAAAATGTATAATTAAAAATACAAAAAAGTTGTTTTTCGTTGCTGTGTACTCCGAAAGGCAGATGAAAAAAAGAGTATGAGAGATGATTTTTTGTTCAAAGTTTGAAAAAAAAAAAATACAAAAACAAAATGAGAGAATCGAACAGGTAAACAAACAACAATCAGGAAAACATAAAACAAAAGAGATGTTTGCAATGCATGATTTTTGGCTTCCATTCGCTTTTGTTGTTGTATTGTGGTGGGGGTGAAAGGTGGGACGAAATTTTTAGTGTAAAAAGAAAATGAAAACAAAAACAACAATAATTCGTTAAAGATGCTGGCCTAATGGTTGTTCGTCGTTATGGCTAAAGAAATTAAATTAAATTAAATCAAGCTAAACAAACATTCAACTTTTATTCACTTAGATACAAACATACTGTGTTGTAGAAAATATAAAAAAATTGTAAACATGTCGTTGTCTTCTGTGTACGTAGTAAGTGCGTTGATAACAAACGGAAATGGAATCTGTTTAACATCCTTTTAGAGTTGGGTGTAGAATTTGCAAAAAAACAAATACATTCAGATACACACATATACTGTGTGCTTTTTAATGTAGTTTTCTCTGTTTTTGTTTTTACTGCTGCTGATGTTGCCATAGTTGTTATTGTTATTTTTTATTTTTACATATGTAACAAGTGCGCTGCTCATTTTTTATCATGTTTATCGTTATTTTATATTTTTCATCGGTGGAGTTTCACTGCAAAGAGAAGAAAATTCAATAAAGGCCAGTACAAAACTTAACAATACCAACATCAACAAGAAACAAAACATAAGTGGAAAAATGACAATAAATAAATGTTTAATACATACATTACAGACGGCCTTCTTCTGCACATACATACATATGTATGTATATATGTACACACACATACTACATGTAAGATATTTAGTCAAATACCAATAGGTGAACAATCAGTGTTGCCAGAACATTTCAGCCTCAAAATTAATTTCTAATATTATTATTAAAAACTTCACCATTAAAATTAAATAAAGTTTGTTCATATCTATATCTTTCAACATTATAACTGGGAAGTGTTCCTGTCCATGTGAGCGAGTTACAGTTAGTTATTATGCAATTATATTAGTTAAATCTATCAAATACATAAGTTTCCTTTTAGAAAATGATTTGAACATCATTTATACAGTGATAGACAATCGTTTGTATGCAACATGTTTTCTTTGATTTTTAAAGCCATTTTTGGGTTTATTGTAAAACTTTTTTTAGAAACTGGATTGAATACATCATAGTTATTAAATAATAGAAAAATATTATAAAATATTTTTCTCTAATAAAAATATCAGACAAAAAATTTATTTTCGTTGAGACATTCGTTTGTACGCAGTCATGTAATTATTACTTTTACGAGAATAATTGAATTCTTTTGAGCGAGTATTGGGGGTTTAGATATAAAATTAATATATTTTATAGCCATACGAATTATAAAAATCTTTATAAAGATATATTATTTGTAGAAATTGCGATTTGATCGCTGTCGAAGCTAAATTAGGAAATATTTTATCAAAATGTCAAAATTTTGAATTATTTTGAACAATATTTTTTAATATTTCGTAATAGATACTCATGCTGTATTAAAAATAGCATAAAACTATGAAAAACTGTTAAAAAATGGCTTCCTTACTCGATTTTACAAGAGTAATGTTACAAAAAAACTAAAAATTATGACACAAAATCCCTATTTTCTTAATGAAATAAAGACAAAAAATTTTACTCCTTGCAATAAAAGATCTATTATCATTCCTTTATCCTTGATTTAGTCATTACTGTATTAAGAATTGCTTGTAAACCAAGATTTATTAAGATTCATAAGGAGAGAAAACTGCACTCTCCATACGGCCCGATATCGGATATGAATAATTTCTAAAAGTTAATATTTTCAAGTGAAAATAAGTTAAACTTATATTATCTAAGTCGTTACAATAACGTATTGTGCGAATTGAACCAAAACGCCGCTAGAAGTACAAATTAGATTTCGATTGGAATTTTTTCACCCAAAATTAGATTTGGAATATTCTTTGATTCATTAGAAGACTGTTTAGCAGAAAAAATAATGAAAAATTGCGACTCGAGATACAATTTCTATCCAAAAATGGGTATTTGACAAGGGTTTGGATTGATTTTCCGACAAATATTTTAATTCTCTTCCTTAACCAGGCGGAATTTTAAGACACAACAAATCAAAATCATTCTTAAAATCATAGTTGAAAAGATTTATAAACAAAAAAGCATTTAAATAACATAAACAATTTTTTAAGCATGACCTTCGGAAATTCTTTTTGAAGCGCTTTAAAAATTGACCTATCCAAAATCTAATGAAATCTATTATGTCAGTAACAATTATGGAGGTCCTACTAAATGTTATGATAAGAAAAAGAGAAATGTACAAATCATTTGTATGGTTATTATAAATTATGTAAAGTGCGTACAAACAAATGTCTCAGACAAATTTGATTTTTTTCTCTGGAATTGCTAATAGAGCAAATAATATTACAATTTTATATTATAATTTTGTAACGAAGATAGTATTAAACTATTTCGCAAACCTTTTTTCTTAAAACACTATTTACTTTCTTTCAAAAGTTAAAAAAATATATTGCGTACAAACGAATGTCTACCACTGTAATTGACTTTTAAAATCTAATAAATATATGGCTCATTTACTGCAAGACCAGCATAAATCAAAAAACTTCGTTTTAACAGCATTAAATGTGTTATAATCATAAATTTTGTTAGATGGATTTACGTTTACATGAAGGTTATTTATGCAGAATTTAATCGTGATACTAGTGTTTATAAGTGAATTATTGATTTTCATTTTCTGAAGTGGACTTTGTATGGGGTCTATGTCCAAATGAAGACCGATCATTACGAAAATTGGTAGTATCCAATGTCCAATTCGGGGGGTACGGTTTTATGGGGGCTAGGTGAAATTATGGACTTATTTAACCCATTTTCAGTCCTAGGATCAAGTGCGCACAAGGTTTACATATACACACAGACGGACATAATTTAATCGACTAATCCAAACCGAAACTTTACTTTAAAGTGGGCGTAGGACCAATATTTTGGATCTTGCAAATATCAGTACAAACGCATAATACTATCCACACTATATGAAAGAGTTTAATATGATAATATATATGTATGTATGTATATATTCTAATACTTGAAATTGTTTCTAATATGGTCCTTTCTACTATAGGCTTAATTATGGAGCGATTGTCATAAAGTAGAATAATAAGAACCCATAATATATTTACTCTTGGGAGTCAACGACCAATATTTCGATTTGTTTCAAACGGAAAGGCTAAATTTAGGCATGAAACACTGCTTCAAAAACCTTTATATTGGGCTAAGTAAAGTCATATTGTCCATTTTCAATACAAAATATGTATTACACTGTGATATAAAAGTTGTTGTTTAGACTTTAAAAAATTAAAGGTTTGGTATTTTTCAACCGATTTTCAAATCTGACATTTTGTTTTAAAGATACAAGTGTTTCCTTTTAAATGTATAGTCAAATATCTGAGTTACGGCCATTTCAGTAAAAAAACTCACACTTTTTTTCAGAATTCTGGTGTATCCCTGTGTTATTAACATAGAAAATTGTGGAAATTTTCAGCTTTAAATACAAAATACCAAACAGCAACACTTAAAACAACATACTGTTGTAAAATGTTAACGAAAGAGAACAAGAACAAGAAAAATATACATAGAATTACGCACATACATAAAATTGCACAAGAATGTTTATACTCGCACATAAAAACTTGAATAGAGTTATGTAGGGTAACCTAAAAGGTTCTACAGAAACGAGGTATGATTTTTTATTTTAATACATATAGTGTATGGAAGGAAATAGTACAAACAACATGTTACAATATAAAACTTATTTGATTTTGCAATATTTCTAAATGTATCAAATTTATATTTGAGAAATTTCCAACAAATGGTCTCTTTCGGTAAGATTTTGTTTGGTAGCTCCCTTATAAGGTGCCCTTCTCAAAGAAAGGAGAATGTATGTATGCTACATCAGATCCAATGAAATACACCTAGACTATTATCGGACCAGAGTATCTATTGAGTATATAATCCACAAACTAGCCTACCGGAGGCACCCGAATTCGACGTAAGCAAGTGTAGGTATAAAAACCAAAATCTCTAACGAATTTTACAATGTAGTAGGCCCGGCCCTATTCTCTCCTTACCAAAAATCAGTAAATTGCCATTAAAACTTTTAAAAATGAATGTCTTAAGAGAAAAGTCTACAATACTTTTTTGTTATAAGAAAGAGTTCTGTAGAGTTTGGTCCATTATGACTTATTGCCGAAAAATCGATATCCGTCATACTGAGGTTAGGTCTTTTGGAGTTGATGTGGATTCCGGATCATCAACATGCACATTTCAAACATTTATTTCTTGGTATAAACGTCTAATTCGCGATAGACTCTATAAACAAACACAGATTAAATAAGTATAACGAATATAATGTGGCTATGGACATCTGTTCTAATATTGCTCGAACTTAGCTTCGGAGAATAATAACAGTGGTTACCAGTAACTGCTCTTTTGAGCTTCACACCTAAAACTAAATTTTCGGTTAACGAATTTTCTTAAGCTTTTAAAATTAAGAACAAGAATAAACTGTTGTTCACTTTCTCTGTCACTTCCTAGCCCAAAACGAGTATAGGCTCGAAGCTATAAAGAATATAAAAATTTAAGTGATACGTTTTTACATAATCTATAATCCGAGCAGATGACACTCACATCTTTGAATCTACACACATATATTTTTGATACTGATACAGAACTGTATAATAAATATCATTTACTTAGATATATCTAAAATAACGTCCATTTAATACCTAGTATGAGTAAATAAAATCTCGGGTGTGACATACCCCACCTGACTCTCATCGAACTTATTGAAAGTTGTTATTAATCACCCATCGTAGTTTACATATGTACGTGTGTGGGTATGTATATACTTGCGTATTTGACTCAATAACAATTAAATGCGTATGTTCGTGAGTATATCACCACAATAACAATCGTTATTGGCAAAAGCTGTATTTAACTTATTAACTCATTTATCAACTCTCTACTACTGACATTTGCTAAGAAAAACAAAACGCACAAAACAATACGGAGAAGACGTGGTAGAAGAATAACAACATAAAATCAGCCAGTCAGTCAATCCAACCGACCAAATAAACGTACAAAGCACTACTGTTAACAGCACTGACAACATTATTTTAAATGTTTTTTTAAGCAGAATTTCACGACTGACAAATATTCCGGGAATTTTGCAAGTATCTCTGATGTTGGGTGATTTCTCAGTTCTTTCTTTCTGCTTTTATTTTTTTTTGTTATTATTATTTTATAATAAAATTTGTAAACAGTTTAAAACGACACCAATTACTATTGCAAAAAAAAAACAATGATTATAAAAATGAGAGAAATAACAGTTGTTTTTAAGAGAAACGTCAAAACAGATTCAGTAAGCGGCTGTGTATCTCAGAATGAAACAAATTTGAATAAATTAAAATACACCAATATTATTGGCGTCATTGTATACGTCTACAATAGGGTTTCTAAATGTTTCATTACCGGAAATTGAGAAAAGAATTTATTTTTAAATAATAACTTTAAGAACCACTCTCTTAATATAGGTCATA